CCCCTCTTACTCTCTCGAGCATTCCTTAACAGCGTAGTTCTCCTGCCATCTTGAGTTGATCTTCGGGCAGCTCTCAAACAGGCTCCGCAGGTGCAAAGTGTTATGGGCGAACGTCGAGGCAACAGTTGATGACAACATACCGAATGAGTGTGCCATACCTGCACACGCCGGCTTTGCCTCTCTCTTTCTCTCGCGTCTCCTCGCACAGTGAGTGTACACTCCACAGTCGCGACCTGGCTTCTGGACACCATAGCCAAGCTAAACAGCCCGAAGCCCACATGAGTAGTGAAGTTGACTACTCCGGGACGCCAGAACGACACATACTACAACGCTCAAAAGACTAGTCCGATCCGCCACGCACTCCGTCTCACAGCTGTCTGACAGGCCGCGCGTGTTAACCACATTACTTTCTGCTCATTCAAAGCGGTTACCACAGCGGACGCTGTTCACCTCCAAAGAAAGTTAGGTTGACGTCGACGAATAGTCTCCTGATCACCACCGCTTCTCTATATTAACAGGACCTCTTCCATCTCATCTTCACATTACTGCCACTGGTGCAAGAACGTCGCGCGAGCGTGGGAAACTTTGGTTGACGTCTGTCGCACACCACAAGCCCACGTCTGGTTCGTTCGCCCAGTCTCCCCTTCTCGTTGACCTCTTCTCTCGCTTCCCACGACTGCCACGTGTAGCCCTTGTACCGTGTGTACGCGTGTACCGCGTGTGTTGATTACTCACACCCCCTTTCCTGTCACTCGTCCTCTGGGACTCCACTGCCACGAGCCCGCCTTCCACAGGTCGTGCCAGCGGGTGGTTCTTGCGGACCTGGCCCGGTCTGTTCCAGGACTGAATATCCGTCTCCCGGTCTCCCGCCTCGCTCATCTCGCTCTCCCCACCTGAGTCCCGGTCCAGATGGGCTTGTTCCAGGTCCGCTGTGTCCATCGAGGTCTCGGTCTCATGATACGAGACCGTTACCTGCATTTTTGTTGTCACTTCGTCCCTTCTGTAGCGCCTCTCCGCACGATCCTTTGCCTCCGTGATCGCGTCCTATAGCTTTGGGTTAGTCTGCATCTCTACCTCCTTAGCCCCTTCCACGTTAATTTTCAGTCTCACTTCGTCACCCCCATCATAATTGAGCATCACTGTGATCCAGGGCCCTTCCCCAAACATAGGCTTCCAGCGAGCCTGGTGGTACCAGTAGCCCGGTCTATAGCCATGCAGCGCCATAGCCARACTTAACTCGCCAGACACCGCACCAGCCCCGCCTACTGACCCGAATAGCCAGTACCAACTACTAGGCGCAAAGGCAGGGGCACACAAGTGGATTTGCACGCCCACTTCGCCACTCTGTTCCCTCCTTGCCATAGCACAGCGAGGCCGTCTGCGTTTTTTTCAGTAAATGGCAGTCCCCTCTTCTTATAGGATCGTTCTCTATCCCGCCCCCATACTCGGAACAAAAGAGCCCAGACACTTCTCATGGCTCTTGTGCCTTTAATCGACTTAAGTTCTCGAATCAAGTTGAATAGAATAAAATAAGATTTAGATGAAAATAAAATAAAATAAGATAACAAAACAAAAGGAAAAAGAAAAGGAAAAACGAGAGACATAACATCAACGGTCACATCACCAGCCTCCTCTCAGGCTTAGAAGTGACCTGTAGTCACGACGCGGAGGTCCCATAACGGGTTACGAATGGATGCCTGTCCCTCTCTAAAACCCGCAGTCGGCTTACTACTATCGGGTACCCGTGTCCGATGGTAAGGAGGGGGTTCATGACCTTCTATAGGCGGTGATGAAACTCCTGCCGATGCGGCCGCGGGTCGCCCCTCTTTTGGGGTCCTGTCGCGCGGCGCCTGATCGGGCTTCCCAACCATCAGTACCGAAGAGACAGGCCAAGTCAGTCAGGGCCACAGACTGCAGCCGCGCTCGAATTTCGAGCCGTTCGACTTCCCGCGAAACGACAAAGGGAAGGAAATCAGAAAAAGACTCGGTAGTAACAATAATAACTACAGTAATATTAATAATAATAATAATACCGAAAAAAAAAAAAAAAGGAAGCATAGTATCTCAGAATTCTCTTGTACCCCCCAAATACAGCTACTGGAGTCTAGCACTTGGTCCAGACGTCCGCACGGGTTATTACTACCACATCCCCGCACCTGGCCCGAATCACAACCACCAGGACCAGACAGTCCCTTCAACTCCGAGCAGGCCAGGCTATCCGACAGCGACCGCGACTAGGAAATTAGACCTTCGGCCAATCCCGAATTAAAGCAGGAGCTTAGGCCCTCGCACAGACTTGACGGTTAGTTTTTATTTTATTTTTTATTTTTATTTTTTTTCATATTTTCTCTCCTTTTACTTCCCTCTCCATGGTCCTTTTCTGTCCGACGGCTACATCTATCGCACGCACCTAACCCATAACCTGGTTAGAGTGTAATCGGCGCGCAGTAGAAATGACCGTGCCAATCCTTTCACCTCCGCGTCCCAGGGCGAACCCGGCGTCTACCACGGCCGCAGGCCGGTTGTGCTCTGCTGTACAGTAGGGGGCCGAGCCTGCATGGACCAAAGGAAAGTCCTGTGGTGCACCCCTCTTTTTGCTGAGGTAGGCATCAACAAGACTAGCCCACACCGGACACAGACCAGGTACTAGGGGTCGCAGAGGGTCGGGGACTTACCTACGGACAGCAACGTCGGAGTAAGAGGCCGACACCAGGCAGGGACTTGGTACGCAGAGGAGGGCCGGGACACCACGCCCTCCGACACCGGCCCTAGGCCAGACACGAGTCATGAAACGAACACAGGCCGTTGGCAGTTGGACACGGGAACCACCCCAGGCCCTGTGGAAGATTCCTTGGGACAGGGGCTCAGCCACTTGGGGCCTACCGAAAGCTTCCGTGGGGGAGGCCCAGACCAGCCAGGCAGCCCACGACTGGCAGCCTCATTCCGTAAAGGAAAGGGCCTGGCTGCGGGCTGGACATTCGAGCACTTGCTGCTTATGCGCAAGTGCTGCTGCACCAGCTGCTGGAGCGAGTGCCTACGCGCTCACGGGCAAGCAAGGAAGAAGCAGGCAGCCATAGTAGGGTCGGCCTGCGCGTTGTTGGATGGGCCGCATGGTGGTCCTTGGGTATGCGTGGATCGAGGTTGCGAGTGAAGTGAAAGATATACCTGGCGCTTGAAGAGAACGACATTGGCCGAGATCTGCTCGTACTTGGAGACGTTGTTGACGTCACCAGCGGCATTGTAGATGGGCTAGATAGGATCTGCCATTCGTAGTCCGCGCGCTGAGCGTTGCCAGATAGGGATTCGACATTGGTTCATTGTTGATGATGATGAGACCATTCCAACATTGTCACTTGTGAGCTTTTGTTGTCGTCTCGGGAACCGTGCGTCTACTACGACGGCGGTGTCTTTGTCCCCTAAACGAATCGTAATCGGGAGTCGTAATCAGTAGAGGTAAGACCGACTTTTCGGACACACGCATCGGTGATGAAGTTACCGGTGGCTCCAATGTCGAGGAGGGCTCGGAACTTAGTCGTAGACGCACCGAGGGTGGCAGCAATGAATTTGAGGTGGAAGCATGATGAGCTGGCGGTGGAGATAATGGTGTTGAGGCGGCGTTGTTTATTGCCTAATCAGACAAGCCAATCGTGTCGGGCTTGTTCCTCAACAACATCAGAGAAGGTGACAAAGGATGGATTCGGGAGGAGGGTTGAGGAACATGTGGCAGTGAGGAGGGTTGCGACGACCTGGGGGTCGTCCAGTGGGATGTGCGGCACTGAAGAGGGGGGAGGGAGACGTATTGTCAATGCCAAATGGGCCACCGGTGGGATGGACATCGTCACCAATGGGATGGCCGACAGACTAGTCGTCGATGCCGGGGCGGGTTCGTGGTGATCATGGGGACAGTGTTCAAGTGGAGGAGGGGTCGGGAGTGGCGGATGGGGAAGCGGCGGGTTGGGGGGCCGCAAACCTAGGTGCCTAGTGGGTCCTAATTGTTCGCAAATGTCCTAATTGTTCGCACCGGAAACATCCACCCTTCGCTTGGAGGTAGGTTCGCTCCTGCGGCGTGAGTTTCGTGAGACGGGTTGGGGGCGTGTTTATGGGAGGACAGCTGGTGCGTTCTCTCTTTTCCATCCACATAAGGTGGATGGCAAAGAGTTCGTCGGAGGAAAGCGATGTGGTCAGAGGAAAGCGATGTGGTCAGAGGAAAGCGATGTGGTGTCTAGTGGGTCGGAGAGGGTGTCGGGGTCGGGGGTGGAGAACTCATCCAAGGAGGTAGAGAGGGGTTTCGTCAGCGATATCATGAAAGAATCGTTGGCGGGGTGGGGCGGATGTGAGTGCGTCCTTGTACGGGGTAAGGAATTTGTCTAGGTGGATGGCGCGGTTGAAGAGATCAAAGAGGGACATCGGGGGATCGTGAGCGAGGGAGGCGGCGAGGTCCTTGAGGCATCCCCGTTTGAAGCGGGAGATGAATGCGGCATCGTCAACGTAGTGAAGAGGTATGTGCTGGACATACTGGACAAAACGGTCGGTCGGACCGTTTTGTCAAAGGCAACAACGTTGCTCAAAGTAGTCATCGACCGTCTTATGTGGCGAGAATGTACAGGTGATGAGGTTGGCCCACTCGAGGAAGGAATGGGGTTCCACGTTTGCGTGTTGCCGGTTAGCTCGTTCAGTGTACCACCAACGGGCAACACCTTCTTGTAACCTCGTGCTGGCAATAGGGAGCCAGTGTGTGACAGGGACGTTGTGGAGGGAGAATGCATTGTAGAGGTTGCTGAGGAAGACGAAGACGTCCTCGTGGGGAAGGTCGGTGAAGGGGGGGATGTCCATTGATCGGAAGGATGGGGGAATGATACCCGTAAAGGGTGTTGAAATCAAGTTTGGGTGAGGAGGATGGCACCCGGGTGAAATCGGTGGTGGGGTTGGTCGGGAGGAGTGCGGACGGAGGAAGAATTGGGAGAACGGGGAGTAGGGCTTGTGGTGTGGGCGTGATCTGGTATGGGTGGGGAGGGTGGAATGATAGTGGATGACGTCATGAGAGGTTTTGACTGAGGCGGAATGGTCGACAACTGCGTGACGGTGGGGGTTGTCGTCTTGTGCGGTGGGATGACCCTGGTGAAGGTGGTGTTGGATGAAGGCGGGGGTGTGGATGACGTGCTAGCGGAGAGGGCGGTGGATATGGGGGAGGAGGTGATTGGTGTAGATGTGGAGGCGGAGGATGGGGGAAGGGTGATGTCACCCGAGGTGGGGGGGGGGAGACGTGGTGGTGACGACCTGGATGGCGGGGGTTTGATTTTCAATGGCGGTCACGCGAGCGGAGATGGTGGAAACAAACGTTTTGATGTCGTCGATGGATGTCACTGTGCGGAGGAGTGTTGCAAAATCGGTGGCGGCATCGGGTGCTGATGTTTGCTCGCCTGCGAGGCCGCGGGCGATGCTGTCGATGGAGTCGGTGCAGATGCCGGACATATTGATGCTGGATGACTTGGCCATGGTGGGGGAGGAAGCGGTGGCAGCGGCGGATGAGGTGGCAGCAGCGGCAGCGTCAGCGGCTACGCGTTGAGAGTTCCTGGTTGAACGTGGCATGCCCGGGGGGGGGGAGGGGGTCCTATTTACAAGAGTAGAACGTCATCAAGTGATTTACCAAAGAATATAATTTCCAAAAAAAATAAAATTTCCAAAACAAGAATAAAAATCAATTAATTCCGATTCGAATTAATTAATGTTATTCGAAATTAATTATTGGCCGCACCCGGATCTTGTATCTAGGATTCTACGTCATGAGATTTCCACGACGGGATTGAAGTCGATGATGCGAAGGTGGCCAGCATTCGTGACTGGCTGCGTCCTCAGTCTGTGACTTAGGAGATATCCTTCCTGGGAATGACCGGATACTATCGCAACTTTGTGAAGAACTATAGCATAGTGTCCGCACCCTTGTGGGATCTCACACGCCTTGACACCCCCTGGGAGTGGACAGACAGGTGTGAGGCTGCTTTCAGACATCTGAGGCATTCTCTTGCACACCATGAGGTCTTGAAACTCTCTGATCCTGACAAACCATTCGTTGTAACCACAGATGCCAGCCAATATGGCATTGGTGCCGTGCTTGCGCAGCAGGAGGGGAAAAAGTTGAGGCCTGTAGAGTACATGTCCAAAAAGATGCCCTCTCATAAGTTGGCTAAGTCCACCTATGAGAAGGAACGCTACGCAATATATAAAGCGCTGACCCACAGGAGGCACTAACTCCTTGGGAGATTCTTCTACGTCATGACTGATCATTAGACCCTGAGGTGGATGAGGACACAGCCTGTACTCTCCGATGCTTTGAAACGCTGGATCGAAGTCAGAGAACAATATAGACTTCAAACCTCAGTACATCAAAGGCGAGTAGAACAAGGTTGTTGATGCGTTGTCGTGTAGGGCAGATTTCCTTGGTGCGCTGATCACTGAGTTTGGGCTTGCGGACAATGTTACTCAATCCTTGGTGGAAGCCTATGGCGAGGATCCGTTCATGGCAAAGATCATACGCAGACTCGAGGCGAAGGACAAGGTGACTTTTGATGAGTTTGTGTTGTTCTGCTGTTCCTCGAGAGGTCCAGGAATAAACGTTGATGTGTGCCAAATAGAGAGTCTTTACGTAGTTTATTTTTAGGCGATTGTAATGATGCCACCAGACATTTTGGCTATAAGAAGACTGCAGCAAATTTGTTGCAGCAGTTCTGTTGCCCCACAATGGTGAAAGACGCCAAGCTGTACGTGGAAACTTGTCAGGTCTGTCAGAGAGATAAGCCGCGCACACAAGCCCCTCTTTGGCTTCTCAAGCCCCTTCCGATTCCTGAAAGGCCTGGTGAGAGCCTGTCCATGGATTTCATGGATACACTGGTCACCAGCAAGAGTGGTATGAGATATGTCTTTGTCATTGTGGATAGGTTCAGTAAGTATGCTAGTTTAGTTGCCATGCCGGAAACAGTGAAGACCGAGTACATAATCAGACTGTTCAAAGAGAACTGGGTCCGAGACTTTGGCCTGCCAAAGTCCATTATAAGTGACCGGGATGTACGATTCACCAATAAGTTGTGGAAGGCTGCAACTGCGGAACAAGGGACTCAACTGCATATGACCTCTGGGAACCACCCAGCGGCAAATGGACAAGTAGAGAAGCTGAACCGCACTGTATAACACCTGCTAAGGCACTACATCAAGCCTAATCAGGTGGACTGGGATGAGAAGTTTATCTCTCATCGCCAGCCTGTACAACAACATTGTGCACAGCGCGACTCGGGTGAGCCCCAACAGTCTGCTCCTAACTTTCAAGCCTCGACTGCCTCTAGATTTCTTACTACCTGAGAACCAGTCCACTGCTGCGCCGGTAACCTTGGAATTTGCCTACAAATATGAAAGTCTTATGCAACAATCAGTGGACAGGATGCACAAAGCATAGGCGCCGCCAATAGAATCAGAAAACAATCACCACCGCCCTTCTACGTTCCAGGTTGGGGGTTGAGTCTGGGTCACGGCATCCGAACTTCGGCAAGAGCATGGGATCCCCCACAAGCTCATGCCACAATACTTCGGGCCATGGGAGGTTCTGGACGTTGTCGGGAATGATCCGGACGGGCCCTCGTATGTAATTCGGATCCCAGGTCACCTTCGCACCTACCCTGTCTTTTGCGCCTCCAAGCTTGCACCTTTCAAGGAAACTGACCAGTTTCCATCTCGTCGGTCAATGCTGCCCCCAACCATGGATGGAGAGGTTGACATCGACGACATCGCGGACCACAAAGAAATGCCAGTTCCAACACCAACAGGCACGGGCCGTCCTCCGAAGCCGAAGCTGCAATATCGCATTCGGTTCACACATCACATTGATCCAAAGGAGGACAGATGGTTTACAAGGGAGGAATTGATGCAGACCGCTCCACAGGTTGTCGCTCATTATAAGAAGTTGCTGCAGAAGGGAAAGCGTCAGATTGAGTAAACTTCTCAGAGGACAGTCGAAGTATGGAGGAGGGAATGCGAGGCTCAAGGCCTCGATAAGCCCTACTGGCCCTGTTTCAACAAGTATGGCTGCCCTAAGTGAAGGCGGGCCTGACAAGTGACGAGAGGCCTATTTTTGGGTTTTGACGCAGCTGGGAAATTCAGTCATTTGCGCAGCGCCACTTGGTTGAGTGAGCCCAGGCCCTGCCTGCCTTTTTCCAAATGTATCGAGGCGGGCCCTGGGCCAGACACGGGGCATGAACTGAACACAGGCCGCTGGCAGTTGGACACGGGTAACCACCCCAGGCCCTGTGGAAGATTCCCTGGGACAGGGGCTCAACCACTTGGAGCCTACCGAAAGCTTCCGTGGGGGAGGCCCAGGCCAGCTAGGCAGCCCACGACTGGCAGCCTCATTCCATAAGGGAAAGGGCCTGGCTGCGGGCTGGAGATTCGGGCACTTGCTGCTTATGCGTAAGTGCTGCTGCGCCAGCTGCTGGAGCGAGTGCCTATGCGCTCGCGGACGAGCAGGGAAGAAGCAGGCAGCCATAGTCGGGCTGGCCTGCGCATTGCTGGATGGGGCACATGGTGGTCCCTGGGTGCACGTGGCATCTGTGTGGGGTATCGAGGTTGTGACTGAAGTGCGAGGCATACCTGGTGCTTGAAGTGAAGGGCATTGGCCGAGATCTGTTCTTACTTGGAGAAGTTGTTGACGTCACCGCGGCATTGTAGATAAGCTAGATAGGATCTGCCATTCGTAGTCTGGTTGCCAAGCGTTGCCATGTAGGGATTCGACATTGGTTCATTGTTGATGATGATCAGACTATTCCAACATTGTCACTTGTGAACTTTTGTTGTGCTCTTATTTGGTGGAACTCGAGTTGCAATTCTGCTTTTGGTTTGAGGTCAAGACTCAAGACTATCTGGTTTCACGTGTATGATGCTGCTGGGTTCTGGAATCCGCTATCACTTATTTTCCTTGCAAAAGGCAAAAATAACAAATTAAAAAACAAGGCAAACATGAAGGGGACACTGAAACCATTCATTTTTCCCGTTCTTCTTTTAACTCCCCCTTTCACTGTGCCTCTCACGCACAAGGCTCGCCACGTTGATGAAGTTGAGCGCGAGCTGGCCCCATCCCCGTGTACCATAACGACCCACTTGTATGATGTGAGAAAGAGGCAGAGTGAAGGGGGAGGGGATAAACACAAGGAGGAGAGATGGAGAGCAGCCAAACAAAGAACGATAAAGGGCAAGCGAGGGCAATTACGGAGTGTGGAGTGAAGATGAAGGCAAAAGAGGATAAGAAAAGGCTCAAGAATGAGTCTGTCCTTGACGTCAGAGAGGATATACATTGCAAGGATGAGGTAGATGAACACATGGAAGACCTAGCTGAGCATTCTCACTGCAATAATTGCCACGACGGCTGGCATTGAGCATGCCCACCATACACCCCCGACAAATGGCATGTCGATTGACGGCCAAAATGAAGGAAGATTAGTCACCACAAAAGACGATGCATTCGGTATAGCGCCCGTGGCTGCAAAAAGGACATATAGCGTCCGGATGCAGAGGGTGCCTGCAGTCAGGAGCGGAGGGAGTCCTCTGCACACATGGATGCAGAAACCATATCACTGTCGTGATTGTGACAGAGATGATGGTGGCTACAGCCGAGTGTAACAGTGTTTGTGGTTGTGCAAAGTAGAAGGTCACAGAGCGTTGGTACATTGTGTTGCTGGAGCACGGGGCCAGAGGAATGCTCTTCGACATAAAAGAGATTGCGGACGATTTGTTGTGGCAAGAAAACAGCGCCATTTTGTAAGGAATCAGTGACATCAGTCATGGCATGGACCATGGTGTCGTTGTCCCATAACTCCCAGTGGTCAGAGGCATGTACAATGGCCATGTAATGGCCGGACCCGTGCACAATGCAGGCAGAGATGTGGGATGGAGGATTAAACCACTCACCTGCTCGAGCATTGCGTAGTTCAAGTTGACGATCCCTCATTGCTACTTGACATACAACACTGGTAAAGCCTCCTTCGCTGGTATAGTTACAATCCTCTGGCTGTAGTTGAGGAAGATCAGCATCAAGCTGAAGGGTGATTGCAAGGAAGTCTGATGGTGTATAAAACGGGCGGTGGAGAATGTGAAGACAGATATTAGTTGTCATCAGACTACAGAGATTGGTGAGGTTCTCAGGCTGGTTTGTTGGATGTTGGCCAACAATTTGCAGATCACCCAGATCAAGTTGCAAGCCCAAACCGTGTTGGGTTGTTTGCTGGATGTGGTCTGCGCGTGGTGGAGCACAAATTTTGTGGTTCATCCGAACAATGCTGGTCAGCCATTTGCAGATCCCCCAAGTGGTCTATGCCTTGTGGGGTGAACTGCAATCCGGGCAGATCATGTTCCAGTCTCTCAACGTTTAGGGCTGCATCCTGAGTAGGGACTGTCCTTGGAGCCGGAAGTGTACTCTGGGCAGGGACCACATCGTGTTGTACAGGTGAGTCGTGAATATCTAACGCCACATGGTATAAAACATGGTGTCATGGCTGCTTGCAGGCAGCTGGACTGTCTGCAGGGGGCAGAGGAGCGGATATTGCCATTCGAAAAAAACGAATTGCAACGACATGTGGAGGAGGCACAGAGAGAATCGGGGCACACAAAGAAACAGGTTGCTGATCCCCGGACAAGTGACAATGTCGCGGATGTTGTCAACGATACACAACAAGAGGA